AAGTCACAGTTAGGTTAGTAAGACAGGTGAAGTAAACACGCACGCTGCTTAAAAAGCCGCTTACTAACCGAAAGAGGTGCTTAAAGTGCCGCTTATTAAGCATACCACCCCCCATGTATTAATTAAGCGGCAAAGCGACACTTTAAGCTTTTTCAGTTTCCGAATTTACCCCTTGCCCTTACCCTATTGTTACCCATGCCCCACCTACCTACCCGGCCCCCACCTCGACCCCAACCCCAACCCCACCCTACCCTTACCCCAACTACCCTACCCCTACCCGACCCCACCCCTACCCACACCCAGATCCCACCCTACCACCTACCCCACCCCTACCTATCCGACCCCACCCTACACGTACCCCACCTACCCGACCCCACCTTACCCCTACCCTACCCTACCCTACCCTTACCCTACCCCACCCCACCCCTACCCTACCCTGACCCAACCCAACCCTACCACATCCTACCCCTACCCGACACCATACCACTGCCTTACCTACCCGACCCCACCCCTACCCTACCTACCCGACCACACACCTACCCCTACCCTACCTACCCCACCCTTTACCCACCTACCCGACCCCACCATACCCCTACCCTACCCTGACTCTACCCTTACCCAGCCTTAACCCCCACCCTACCACTACCCTACCTACCCAACCCCACCCCTACCCTACCTACCCAACCCACCACTACCCGTACCCTTACTCCACCTACCCCACCCCACCCTATACCCCGACCCCATCCCTTACCCCACCCTATACCTAGGGTGGTGGGGTCGGGTCGATGTGATAGAGGCGCTAGGGGCAGGGTAGGTGCAGTGGGGTCGGGGGTAGGGTTGCAACAGGGTGGGGTCGGGTAGGTAGAGTAGGGGTAGGGTGGGGTCGGGTAAGGTAGGGTAGGGTAGGGGTAGGGGCGGGGTTGGGGTAAGGTGGGGTAAGGTGGGGTCAGGGTGGGGTTGATGTGATAGGGGCATATGGGGTCGGGGGTAGGGCCGCGGTAGTGTAGGGTGGGGTCGGGTAGTGGTAGGGTAGGTAGGGTGGGGTAGGGGGTGGGTGGGGTCGGGGTAAGGTAGGGTGGGTAAGGGGTTAGGGTGTGGGTACACATATTATATTATATTATATACTTGTGTTCATGAATGTTTGTGTGTGTATATATGTATAAGGTTATTTTGGACATTTTAATGTTAAGCGGTGTTTGAAACCGTTTGAAGTAAACACGGTCTTACAACATTGTTTATTTTATGCGCCGCTTATTAACACGGGTCTTAATAAGCACCGTTTAATAACCGGTGAAGTAAACATGTGCAATGTGTTCATTTTCCACATTCATACTTTCAATATTATTATCATCTTCATGTCCTTTCTCCTAGCGCCTGCAATGAGAATAAAATAACTATGAAGGCAGTATAGAAGGACTTGAGATAAGAGAAACGACTATTTCCAATGTATTTACTATTTGTTAGCAACCTAGCAAATAAATAAATAAATAACGAGTGTGCTAATCTATCATCTAGAATTGAAATCCTCTTGTAATATATACAAATGATATCTAGAATAACGTCAAGACAAAACTAATAAAAATTTGTTAGTTCAATTTACACATTAGAATAATCGGACAGAACTAATAAAAAACGGGACCACAATACTAAGCCGATAAATAAGCAATTCCAGGGTCTTTCATCCATGGAGAAAGACGATGTTCTGTGATTGATTAAAAATATTCAATTAAGAACGGCTAAAGGATATGGAAGAAAATGATTAATTTCAATCATAGAAAGAAAATGGCCCTAAATAATGTTTGAAATACTTAGACAATAATCAATTAATTTCAAAATAAAATCAAAAGGATAGTGTATGTTCCCAAATTGATTTTATTAGTTAATAGTTCAATACTAAACTAACAACCAATCACATTCAAGTAATTCCTCTGCAATCTGTAGGTCTTAATAGTTCATACCATGATACTATGCAAGGTAAATGGCTAAAAGCTGCCTCCATTGCATTCTTCAAACCTGCTGTTGTCCGATTTCTGGGCAATTCAATATCTATGGCCAAAAGTAAAAAAAGCACAACAAACCACATATATCAATCTCTATATACACAAATTGATTGATTATAGCAAATAGAAATATACAGATGAATTGTGAGTACCGAAAGATCCATATTGTAATAGAAGGAATTGCTTTTGGGTGAAAGAAGGGTGAGTGACAATGCTCTAAAAAAGATTCTTACTTTCCAGCATCTTGTTTTTGAGAGATCCATTATTGTCTTCTATATACTCAAAGTAGTCCGTCAGGGAAACGCCGAAACGGTGTATAGGGCAATGTTAGCACCTTGAAACATATCTAAGAACTTCCAGTACGTTTTTCCCCAAGCTGCTAGCTGGTGCCCGAATGAGTTCGCACCTGCACATCCATTAAGACTCCTAACTTTTAATTTGACATCAAAGCTAAAGGACAATGAGCTACTAGTGCTAAGTTTCACAAGCCTTTACATAGTAGTCGGTGGAAATGCATTATTTTGATGGATACAAACACAAATTACCTTATCAAGGACTCATCTTTATCCGTAGTTTATGTAGAAATCTTTAGATAGCTCGGGAAGGGAGGCCTCCACGGAAGCCACCCCATTTCGATCCAAAGTGAATTTTCTAGATGCGGCCAAATAAATCTAACATAGCAGTAGGTATAACATATAATCAAATTCTCTGGCGTGCTTAACTAATAGAATAATCAGAATTCGATGAACAAGTTATAGCAAATAAAACGAATTGAATAGGATTTGAGCAAATCGGTTTTGTTACCCTAGCTTCTCAAGGGATAAGGCAGATCGAGGGATTGAGCACATGACGTGAAACGTTCGATTCTGCCTCGCAAGCCCTCCGTCGATACCTTTATTGACCTACGTCGGTGAAGAGGTAACAATCTCTCTGGCCGACAGGAGAACAACGGGTAGATGAACTCGAAAGAGATAAACAGAGAAGATCGAGAAGAAAGAGGAGCAAATCGTCGGGAGATAATAGAACTTGTGAGTCTGGTTATTTGGGTTTGATTTGAGATTTAGATTACTTTTGAAATAAAAAAAATTAAATGTGTAAAGGTGAAAGTTTATTTATGAAAGTTAAAAGAAATAATTACATAAATATGACCAAAATAAATATGGTTTACAAAAATATGATTCATTACTAGAGTAGTAATGAAATCATAGTAGATAGAACGGGATATTTCCACAAGAAAATACTCCGTAGAACTTACATATATAACGGGCCGGGTACCCGGAATTTTTATATTTTGGAACCGGCCCAAACCTAAAAAAAATTAATATCCGGCCCTACCCGGACCGTTTTGTAGTAACAAAATATGGAACCGGCCCGTTTTGGACCCGAACCACCATTACCCGGACCGGACCGGACCGCGGTTCCAATACCCATTTGCCCACCCCTAGTTGAACTTGTGGCAAGGTTATTTCAAGAGACTTATGTTATTCTTTTTTTCGTTAGCATCAGGCGATCCTTTTTTTGATCCATTTTTTGACAGCTTCAGGTAGGGGTGGACTCGGGCCGGGCGGCCCGACCCGGAACCGGCCCGGCCCGGTTACTGTTTGGCCCGGCCAGGCCCGGGGCCCGGTGGGTCCAGCGGTTCGGTTTGGCCTGGCCCGGGTGATGGGCGGTCCGGGCTCGGGCCCTGCTTTAGACGAACCGGCCCGGCCGGTACGGGCCCGGTCCGGGCCGGATTTTAATTTTTGTTTTTTTGAATTTTTTTTAAGTTTTGGGTTGGATTAGGTATTTTGGGCCATTTGAGGTGGTTTGGGGTTGAGGGGGAGGGGTAGGGGGTTAAATAGGAGAACAAAAAAAAAATGGACCGGTTCGGCCCGGCCCGGTTTGGCCCGAAACCGGAACCGGAACCGGCCACCCGCGGTTCGGGCTCGGGCCCCAATTTTCTGGCCCTAGGCCCGGCCGGGCCCGAGTCCAGCCCTAGCTTCAGGCGATCCTTTTTTCGGCAGCTTCAGGCGGTCCTTTTTTTTGTTAGCACCTAGACTAAACCTAGGCTCCTAAGAACCCACCCCAAAGGTCCAAACCCTTGAGAGATCTAAATTCGAGTCACCTGAATTATTGGTTTGGTTCGGTATTTGTACATAATCACACACAAGAAACCCTCTTAATTCCCAGTACAAAACATATGAGAATTGTCATTGATTGGTCAAACATCTTTATGTTCCCAGCACGAAGCTAACTTCTACATGCCCCCTTGAATGAGGGCCTACATCGACAGGCTTAACGAACTACTGATTGCTCGACTACTTGAACTAGATCTAGGGAGTTAGAGGATTTTCATTTGAGAAAATCCTCCAAAACTCACTTTCTTAGAGTCGTGAACGTAAGACCTTAGAGGATCACTTAACGTAAGACCTTAAGTGCGAGAAGTGGTCCACTTGAATCACTCCCACTTGTCAAATTCATGACATTCCTTGATTGCGCGTGTTGTGGACCTTGTGGTCAAGTCTAATATACATTCTAAATATTACAATTTTACATATATTCCGTTTTCTATAAGTCATGTAAAAACCGGTAAAAATTGACAAAGAAACCTTAGAAGTAAATAATTATTAGAGCTGGCGACAAATTAAATCAAATACTATTAAGTAAAACAACTAATTATTATACGTACATCTAAAGACACAACACATAGTTCTCTTTCAACATGTATGGATTAATGATGTTTGTCTTACATGCGTAGATCAAGGGAAGAATGTTATGATTACATATTTACATGTGATTATCTTAGCTAGCTATGTGAGGTGTGATAGTACGAATCTATCTATATCTATATTAATCGACTTAAGTGGGTTTCCCGCTCGCCATCAAGGACATTTTTGTAAATACACGAAATCCTCTTACTTCTGGGTTTCTACGTTCTAGACTCCAGCGCATCTACGACGCTTTTTATGTCTTCTTAGCCTTCCTTTGCTCTGCCATCTCAACGGAAGTGGAATATAGTGACTGGATCTGAGTGATATCCTTCATAACATAATCGAAGAAATTGCTGTAAGAGTCTATGCTTGGCCAATGAATACAGGCGCTCGATGTATGAAGATTCGGCGGAGGAAGAGGTGTACGCCATACGGACACCGCTTCAGCTTCTCTAATCACTTTCTGCTTCATGAGATTGAATTTTCGTCTCAATCTGGGGTTCGCTCACTAAATTCTTTTTATTTCATTTGTTCATAAGCATATTATCTATTTGGGTTTGCAACAATTATGCTCCAGCTTCTCTAATCCATCTCTGCTTTGTGAATTTGATAACACCAAAGTGATATTATTCTGTCTATTTTGTGAATTTATACCCCTTTTATTCCACCTTCAAACTTTTAGTTATTTTTTCTTGCATTTTTATTTTGTTGGGGGATTATTCTGTCTACTTTATTTAGTTATCATAGCAGTGGAATGTCGTTAGAAATGCATGAATTGAAGTCTCATTTTGTCATCACCTAAATGGATTACTTGGTGGAATGCTGTGTGCAATGCCTACTGGAAGGAAAACAAATTCAGCCATTCAAGTGTGCATAAAGACAATTTAATTACTCTCATTTCATGTTCTATAAGTTAAGTTTCTCCCCCTCAAAGTAGTAGGGTGTGCACCTCTGTGGTGAATTCTTTCAATAGCCTATTTTAGCTATTATTGAAAATCAAATCTTAACTATGAGGATACTATTTCTGGCTGTTGGGCTATGAGTGTGTTTAATGCCTTAGCCTATTTTTGGTTATTAGTTTACTTCCAATAGCCTATTTTTGGTTATTAGTTTACTTCCAATAGCCTATTTTTGGCTATTATTGAAAGAATCTTAACTATGAGAATACTATTTCTAGCTATTAGGCTATGAGATTTCTAATGTCATATCCTGTTTTTGGCTAGGCTGTGAGGTCTTTCTAATGTATTACTTAATCAATTCTTTTGCAGCATCTATGCTTACTTGAAGGTTGGTTGATACCGAGACAAAATTGGATTAACAATGGGACCATGTAATTCGGCTCTTGAGATATTCTTTCTTTCAAATCGCATAAATCAGTATAGATATTAAAGGCCCACCAAGAGTAATGTTTCTTTCTGTCTATACCACTTCTAACATCAGTTGAAGTATGAGGCTTATCCCATGACTCTTAACGATTCGAAGTGCTAATTAAGAGAAACACACTTCACCATTTTGATCAATTCGAAGTGCTATAAAATAACTTTGATATAAAATTGGACAAAACATTAGTTATTTTTATCAGAGTAGTAAAGGAGGGAATATTCCCAAAAATAAGTATATCATTGCATAATATATCATTCATGTTCTTTGTACCCGATTGAAATCAGCATACATGAACTCTTCTCTGTAATGACTATGTTCAGTTGGTTAGTATTATAGATGAAGTTGATCTCTTCTAAAATTTTGCTTATCAATCTTAGTATTACTATAGATTTTGATTCTTTCTTATATAGATTTCACATTCTCCCTATTTAAAATTTCTGATTTCAGAATTAGATTTTTTCCTTTGATAAAACCGTAGTTTTATGCTTGAACTGTCCACTGTAGCTTTGAAATTGTTAGCTATTTCTTAGAAGATGAGTTTTAATGTTTTCTTCTGCATAATAGATCAAGAAAAAAATGTTATGTTAACTCGAAGTTTTATAGAGCATTAAACAGGACAACTTTTGATTGATAGTGCAAAAGGAGAAAGTTATATCAAATATGACTTTAGTACTGATTTTGTATTTTAGTATGAGTTTCTAATGAGTGCTCACACATGAATACACACACACATATGACATATTTACATATATTTGTTCAAATATATATACATGTATTTTAGTACTGACTTGAGTACTGATTTTTATTCAAATAGCATACACAAGTGTGTGTTGATTTAGGTGAATGACATTGCACTCGATTGCAGATTTGCATTTGGGAGCTTGAAAAAACATTGATTTCAATCATTTGATAGTGCCTATGTATGCTATTTGAATAAAAATGAAAGTATTATTCTCATTTTTATCTTTTTTCTACATTTGTTTGCATTTTTATCTGTCTTTCTGAGCCATCTTGGATAATAGATATTTTGAATTCTTTGGTACATAAAATTATTTATGTAAAGCTTACATACAATGTATTGTGTGCATATAAAGGCTACATTAGATCATGCTTATGTCGATTCCTATTTGATTTGATTTTGAAGTCCATTCCTTCTCTTTTGTTTCAACATCATGGTAACTTTTTGCAGGGTATCACCGATTTTATATGTGGTTCTGGAGGTTTCGACAGTTCAGGTCTAAGCTCTCAGCACCAGCAAATCCAATTTAGTCATTTGTATTCACTCTCCATAATGTATTCAAGAGTGTGTTTGAATTAGTCACAACCATTTGTGTTCTTATTTAACCGATATAGTTCTTATGGGAATCTCATGACCATTGAACTGAAGTTGTTACTTTCTCTTTTCAACTATTAGGATATTGTCCTAAACCAAGTATTAATTTTTGTGATGTGTGAATTGCTCATCAGGTCAATGTAGCGTATATGTTGGCTCTAGAAATTGCAAATAATCTTACCATGTCTCCTACATAAAATATTGAGTATGATAGGTATATTATGTTCCACGGGCACATTGTCTACTTACCAATTGTCATAACTTGATGCATTCTGGACTTGGAGCTCTTTCAAGCACGTGGAGATCAGCAACACCTGTTACCTTCGATATAGTAAAGCTGGTTTTGTGCATACATCATATATTCGTATGTGATGAAATGCTTATTTAGTAAAAGCTTATACGGTAGTATACAATTAGGGATGAACCCGGGACAGTTTTGGTTCTTGGCCAGGATTGCTTGGTTGAGTTGGTTCATAAAATGGTGGGCTCTGGACCAACCCACTATTATTCGGGTCTGGGTCAGTTCCGGGTACCAGGGAGGCCCGGTTCTGATCTTGGACCCATTATGATTTTTTGGATTTTCCCCGGTTTCAAGCTTTAAGAAAAGAAATTGGCCGATATTGGATTAAAACCGGAACCGCATGGTTTGGTCACCAAATAGGTGAACCAGGACCGTGAACCTCTCTTGGGCGGACATGGCCGGTCCCAGGCCCGAAACCATAAATTCTTGACCCTGTCCGGTCCCAAACAATGCTGGACTCGGTTCTGGACAGGGTAAGACTGTGAGACTGAGTCCACCCTTACATACAATGCATTTTGTCTGTGTCATACACATACATACTAACAAACTCCTAACTTCAAAAAAAATTGAAACAAATTAATTAGGTGCAATTTAGATTATGTAGGTTTCAAGGTAAGAATTGATGTTTCAATATTGGGAGAAAGCTGATAAAAATGGAGTCATATTGAAGCATACTACATTTTGGAGACTTCTAACCACCCATGATACTAACTCGGTTGGGCGATGGGCACATTGATGTTTGGAACTAATTTTTTGTTTTCATAATTCTCGCAGCCAATTTTAAGTTTGTATCCTCACATTCCCGCTCTGATCTGCTATCGTAGTATTATATAATCCCTCCCTCCACCTACAAAGCAATTTGCAAATTTTCCCTTTTAATCGTTTTAATAAATATGACTAAAGTTTCATCTGCACAAATCTTAAGATGTTTTACGAAGACTTATTTCAATTGCAGTATAAAGTGTTTATTTTATTATTTTATGTAACATTCAATTTGGGCCATGTTTCAGAATTACAAGTAATATATATAGTCTAAGTACATTGTGATTAGTTTTCTATTCCGTGCAACGCACGGGTGAAAAACTAGTAATACGATAATTGGTTTCATTCATGGTTCTACTATCTGGATGCACTAACTATTACTCCGTTTTAATTACACATTCTCAAACTTGTACCAATTCATTTGTACTTTTAAATTTCTATCTTTTTTGATTCACCGTAATTGTAACAGTTGCGAATTGCAACCCACTTTCCTTTATTTTTGAGTTCTCCTCCATAGCGGTTGTGGAACTTAAAATTGAAGTGCTTGAGAACACTTCAGAACTGAGACGGGCATCAACAGCAACTATGGAACTAAAAACCTTGTGATTTTAGCTTTCAGTGCCATTAAGGTGGGACATTATTCTAGGTACACATTAACATATATGGTATCACAGATGGATATCTACATCTTAAAGACTTATAGGAGTGAATGAGAGTAAGGGTCACTTATGATTTAAAAAAGTGTAGGTTTAATACTATTGCTAAACATGCTTGTAAATTGTGCTTTCAGTTTACTAGCTAAAGCTAATCCCCTTTTGTATCTGTCTTCTTTTTGTTGACGTCATTACCGCACATGTCCGCTTCTAGGGTGTTGCTTTCGAGTTTCATGGCCATAAGCTGTGTCATCACCATATGGTATGTATATTCTCTCCAACTTATCGATATCATTCAAGTTTTCATTTAATTTCAAGTTTTCATTTAATTTCATGTTTGCATTCAATACATCCTCTAATGCTTTGAGTTTTAATTTCTACTGTCCCTGTACCTGTGTCACGCCAAACTAAGTAGATCATGGTTTGGGATTTGGATGTAAAAAAACGGAAAGTTTAGCATATGACTCAAGAAAGCGATACTTTAGAATTCACGAGTTGCTCCTGGGTACGCAGAGATATATATAATGTTCTCTCATCCTTTCTACCTCAGACCGAAGATTACCTTTACAAGCTATGAAATAAGATAAGAGCTGCCAAAATCAGCAGGAGATTGAGGACCTAATGGGTTTATTTGAATAGTGACTTAATGGGTTTATTTGAATAGTGACTTAATGGTGACTTAATTGTGCCATTGAGCCGTGTAAACATATAACTTAATTGGAAATATCACCCTTTTTTAGTAAAAAAAATGGCTTAATCATTAAACCTCGGTCAGTTGATCCTTATGATTTTCTTTTCTATTCTATGAATTCTTTTTTATTGAGAAACTATGATAAAGTAGATGTTTGTTAATAAATGAGATTAAATATATTACAATTTACAACGCAGTCTAAAAGTAACTTTAATCTTGTTATTTTATCCTATTCATATTATTGATTCAACAAACTCACACTCTTATACAAAGATTGCTTAATTTGGATAAATATCTTTATCCACACTGAACTCAAATGAAACAATTATAACAATCAAACAAAAGTTCTTATATACTACTATCATTTTGCAGACAAGTGGAGTGGACCATGGGTCCATGACTGTGGTTTCCTTGAACAATAGAGAATTATGGATTATAGCAGTTATTTGGCTGGTGTGCAACCAACCTCTGTCACTGTTTGTAGTTCTCAAGTTGGAAGATCATGGAGGTTATATGTAATTCTTCTTGAGTCATCAATCCTTTTTCAGGTGTATGAGCTTGCTGCTTTTGTTTCTTCACATTTTGTTTCAGGCAGAAGAAGTCGTTGTCAATATATCAAGGCAGTCTTAAAAACTTATAATCGCCCCATCTGCCCCTAACCTCACCCAGCTCCCATCGTTTTTGTGCTCCGACGCCAAACGTCCAGATCACACCCAACTCGCCCCATATGTCTCCATTTCGTTTCTTCGTTTTCTGCCAGACTTTGCTCATTCCCTTCATCATTAATACCTCATATTATTGTGTCAGTGTTTGGGATCTGCCTCTTTCTCTGCTTTGTCCACGGTATCATTTCTCACCAAGCCAATCTCCACTCTGTTTATTTGCTCTAAGCCGCAATATCAGTCACCATCTAAAATTTCTGTCAGCTTTGAGTGAGACCACCCCGTTTGACGCTACGATAGAATATGGTTTTCTCACAGAGGTTAAGGTTCTAAGCATGTTCAGTTCTCTCGCACGAGTATATCGTTCTTTTCCTTTATTTTGGTAATAATTACAGTTAAAAATTTGTTCTTTTTTATTTTTAAAACAATAACATTTCCTGTAATAACCTACCAGACAGCCATACGCTAATTTTTTTAGCACAACATAGAGGTATTTGATTTTACTCGGCAGTTTTTAATGAAAAAAAGATGATTCAAAACATTATTGCCTTTAGCTATTATGTACTATGTATAACACTTCCTTATAAGCCTTAAGAGGACATATTTAGAAGACCACACAGATTGAGGACTCAAATTCCTTCTACATGCCTTCTTTCTACATGTGGGAAAGGGAGTAGTGAAAATATAGCTTGGTCCTTTTGTTTATGCAATGCTCGGGTTCTTTTGTTTAGAGCTCAGGTCCTTTTAAGGCTTGGAAGAGTTCTAATACGTAGTATTAGGCTATTTTTCTGCCCAGTAGCTTTAGAGATTTTAAAATTAACCTGGAAAGGATAAATTCTATCATGTTGTAGTTGGAGTCAAAATGACATTTATAGAGAAACTTTAAAAATGTATTCATGTAATTGAAAATACACTTTGAGATCTTGCATTTATTCATTTCCGAAAGGGTCACCTGCAATTGTATGTATATCTGTCAGTATGTGTCAGACACAGACTTACAAAAAAAGTTCTTTTTAGTTTTGACCTTTGATTAAGGTGGTTGGAATAGAGGATTTAGCCTTAATAATGATTAAATAAGTGTACGACTTATTACCCTTGTTTATAATACTGAAATATATTCATATATCAGGAAATTGTTCCAGTCCTTTCTCCCCTTTTTACTTCGTGTGTGATGTAACTATTTATTTGGTACTTAATAACATACATTCACGAATCATATTAATTGTAAATATAAAGTCTTGAATGTGGTTACTTGAAATGTTGGAAGTTATTCTGGAATTAAAATTTCAGAATTAAGTTTTTATAATCGACTAAATCAAGTATGAGCCAGTGAAACTACTCTTTCTACATTACTGATTTGGAGTAACTGAAAAAAATAGACTAACTATAAGTGCTGCAAAGTCTCTATTGATGTGTTGAAAAATTTATGTCAAGATATATTAAAAAATATTTTTTGGCATCGCCCCTGGTTTAAACTATCATTAGCTTCTGTTTTATGATTGACTTTTCATGGAAATGATTTTGGTTTGAAGTTATGTTTATTATTACTATAGATGTTGATATATGCAAATTACAGGCCTGGATTCAGGGGCGGACCCAGAAAATTGATATTGGAGGGGCGATAATTTAAACAAAAAAACTAGGTGCTTATATTACTCCTGCTCCTGCTTTGTGTGTATGGAACATATATCATCAATGTTAAAGGACTTATATGAGTCCGTAGGATCCAAAGCACCGCTAAGAGTAAGAAGATCCATTATTTGTTCACTGAATCAGCTATTTAGTTTCAACAAATGTGAATCTATGGCTACGTAAAACATATCAACCCGGTAGTGACGTTCAATATCAAACCCTTCTTGATCATGGCATTTGTGTTTTACCACATAAGGAGACTTCATATTAGGAATTTCAATCTCATGCTTTTTGCAAAACTCTTTAACAATTTCTAAGAAGTTATCCCATCCACCCACTACAAAAAAAATAGGACTGTAGTCACGGATTTACTTCTAGGTGCGCAGATTTTTCATTAGTTTGGGTTGGGTTGT